CACCCCCTTTTCTACAGTTAATTTGTGTTTAATCTCTTATAAACGCCTTTCTGCCTGTGAGCAATTATTCCACTTATTATTTTTTATTCCTGAAGAATATGCTGTTCAATGGGGGATCACGCTTCGTATCCTCAGCTGATTTGTTTATGGACAAAATATCAATTTCAAACCAGTGTAAGGACGTATCTTCGAATTTTTCTTCCTCTTTCTCACTTTCAGATGCAATAAACCTCGACCTCGAGAAAGCGTCTACATGCAGAATGGTATTGCCTTTCATATATTCAATATCAAAGTCAAATGTCATTAACATTAAGCCCCATCTTAGATTTCTGGAAGACGTTACCTGAGGAAGTTCGTTCCTAGGATTAAATATGTAAAGGTCTATGGTTGGACTTTTGAAGGAATTTATTTACAGTCAAAAAATGACCAGTTCTATTTGTCGTCCATATTATGGACAACACTTCCTTCTCAATATTTGGGTAGGTTGATTTGGCTTTTGTCAACTTTCTTGAAAGATACATAATAGGATGGCAATTCTGAATTCATATTCCCAAAATTGAGTGTCCCCTTGCGTCATTTGTTATTACTATTTCCTTTATAGGGTTGAATATTTTTTACTACTGGCTTCTTTGCCAGAACAGATTTTAAATTTTCAAATGCCACTTATTGTTCTTTTGATCAAATAAATTCCACATCCTTTTCTTAAAGCAGCAAAAGGTTCAGTCAATTCGGAGTATCGCTCTACATATCGTCTGTAGAAATTTACAAGAAAAATTCCAATTCTTTTTTTGTTGTTCTTCTTAGGTACTTCCACTTTTAATATTTTGCCAAATAACGATTGGTCTGGTGATATGCCTTCGTTAGTTATGGAAGATTCCATAAAATGATATTTTTTAGTGTTGTGTTCACATTGTTTTGTTAATACTTAATCCAGCATTTTTTTTAACTTATTCAAAACCATACTAATTTTCTATATAAATTCTTCGTCGTTAATAGCACCAACACAAATATCATACCGGTAGCATATTATATTTTTTATATCGCTACCAAGAACTTGCACTATAGCCCTTTGAAGAATCGTACTTGTGTTTATAATTCCATATGGTATTCTTTTCCATCGTAATATCCCTATTGGTGTGACTCTGTTAATATGTATTTGATGGCATGTCGACTTTAGATCAATTATATAGAATGTTGCCGTGTCTGCAAGGGAGTTGAAAGCCCATTCTATATTGCAGATAGGATATTAGTCTTCACATATTTTGTGGTTTACACCTATTTTGTAGTCACCGCAAATGCGCAAATCCCCATCCTTCTTTCTTATAATTACTAACGGTGAGCACCATTTACTCCTTCTTGGTTCATGTTGATCTTGTTCGAGTATTTTTTTTTTAGTTTCTCTACAAGTGTAGATGGACGGGCAATTTTCGTGCTTCAAAATATGAGGGGTGATATTTTCCTTTATTCCCAACTTTGGTTCGTAGTTTTTAACATTCCAGATTCTTTACTTTGTTTACAAAGTTTGTCGAATTTATGTTCATCATTTCCTATTAAACCATGATACTTTCCACAGTTTGCACGATAATTGGTAATACGTCAAACTTATTTTTTTTTTGTTCTAGGTAGGCTTCAGAATAGCCTAACGTTCTTATCACAGACCTATCGAACAATTAGATATGGCTTTTCTTTAATCTTTGTTTTCCTAATTCCTTCCAGAATTTTCTGGATATTAATTTTACGTCAATTCCCATATCTAGTTACATGTCCAATAAAACATTATTGATTCGAGTTTTTAATAACCCTTTTTCATTTTCTTTTCAATGAAAAGACGTCTCTATTTATTTCCTCGTCATTTTGTTGGACCATCTCTACGTTTTTCCTTTTGGATTTACACGAACGTTAAAAATGATTCATTTTGAAAGACTTTTCACATTTTAGGGGTATACAATCAAGGAGTTGACCCTGGGCATTAAACCACTGCATGCCACTGCAGTCCTTAGTAACAAAATACTTATTTTTTGGCGTATTAATTCTTGCACAGGTTTTAGTAGTTATCATTAGTAATATACTATGTTTCTTTCTTGTATTAACAGTTACATCAACGAGTAGTCGTATAAAATAACTAGTCGTATAACTGAAAAGTACGGATTTTTGGACTGACAAAAGGAAATGAGTTATGGTGAGACTATAATTTAACAGTTGGAACTGCAGCTGGGATAGATTGTGGTCGTTTAACATTCACACCATTTGAAAAAGCATGAATTAACTTATTCCTTTATTCTAGGTAAAGAGTAATGCAGATCTAACCCTTTAGATTTTCAATATTAGTTCAAATCAGTGAGAGGTTTTGCTGCTGGTAGAATCTAAAACAGTGCAACGTGTTAGCTGTGATTTGTAGGAAAGCTTGGTTTCCTAAATAATTGGAATCAGCATTAGAGATGATACAAAGGGAGATTACTCAACTGTGGCAGAATCATTTGCGTGTGGAGGTTTTTTCTTCTTTCATCGTATGAGAGATATGTCGGCGGTTTTAACTGGTTTCAGTTAAATCTATTTTGTCTGGCATTATAATAACAATTTTTATAGAACATGCCAGTATACTACCTGTACAATGACGAACAGCTTCTCCAAATAAAATAAAAATTTACAAGAATCCTTGGTACAATAAGATATTAAAATTTCAAGACATTTTTACCTATGTAGTTAGTCTTAGCCATGTAACAGTGTGAAATAGAATGTTCAGAGTTGAGAGATTAGAATTTGTTTAATTGGTTAGTAGTTACAGAGGACAGATGGAGAGATTAGACATTGTTTAATTGGTTAGTTGTTATATTAATAGGCCAATCAGAGGACAGATGGAGAGATTAGACATTGTTTAATTGGTTAGTATTTCTATTGATAGGCCAAATCAGAGGACAGGAGGAGAGATTAGACATTGTTTAATTGGTTAGTTGTTATATTGATAGGCCAATCAGAGGACAGGCGGCAACAATTTTCCCGTGGAAAAATAAATATATGTTAAAGATAAATTGCTTTTTTTTTAGCAGTAAATAGTTCATATCTGAAATAATTAAATCTGCCGCCACTAGTTTTAGGCAGTGGTTCGATGTGTAGATATGTTTTAAAAACTGACACTCTATATGGTACTTAATTTTCCTAAATTAAGGATTCAATTAGATATTCTGTAGTCATGATTTAAAACTGTCAATGTTGCCACGTTTGCCATAACTGCGAAAAAAACACATTTAGGTACAACCATAGAATTTCTTAAAAAAAGAAACAAACAATATTTGCAGTTTTTCCTATCAAGAAATTGTCCGTTATCCTTCCGGTAGTGCTTGTTTTATTGTATGCAACCGGGCTGAACCTGATAGATGATATTTCGGCCAAGAACTTCCACTTCCATTCGTTGATCCTTGCTTTCCGTGAATCTTTTAAGACAGTGTGAACGGACAAAGCGTTTGACGGAGGAACACAGTGGTATTAGCTGGAGGCGATGGAAGAATGAAAAGTGAAAAACTAAAAAAGCTACCTCAAGCAATATATTGTCACGCAGTATGGCACACCGATAATCTAATTGCTGACAGGAAATATTTATTTTCACATCCACAAGGAAAGTAGAAGGAAAAATGGTGGGCACATAATAAAGAACAAATTACGGGAATAAATTCTAGAAAAATAGGAAAGAAATGAAAACGGCATGTAATAAAAAGGGCTGTCAAAAATTAAATCTCAAGAAGAATAAGGTGTAAACTTAAAGGAATTTTGCGTAAGGACTAAATTAATAGCTAGGAGTATAAAGAACAGCACAAACAGAGGTTGGATTAAACATGAACGTTTAATGAAAGCAAGGCGACAAGAATGGGATAAAGAGCAAAAATAAAAAAAAAATATGACATTATTTATATTAATTATTTGTTTGGTTTGAAGTACGAACCGGATTCAATATTTGGATGACTTTATTTTTCTCTTTTTATCTCTTTGATTTTTACCAGAGCATTCTTGCTCAACATATCGTTCTTTTTCCCTTACAAACTGAACTGTTCTGGGGTCCATTATTTTTCTCGAAATCTTCTATTGTGCGCGAGCGACAAACCCGATTCCAAACATCTAATTTTCATAGACATTGAATGTTAACTTTTTACATGCGAAGTGTGAGTGGAAGTGATGTTGATAAAGTGAAAAAGAATAAAGAAGTAGAGAAACGCGAAAGCAAGCAAAAGAGTAAAAGCAGAGTTTATTTCAAAGAACGTTATAAATTAGCACAGTATAATATATGCATCTATACCTATATATATATATATATATATATATATATATATATATATATATATATATATATATATATATATATATATATATGAGAGAGATTTGTAGGCAAATAGTATGAGAGAAGTACGAACAGATTTAGAGATAAAAAAATTAGAAAGAAAAAAATGCGGGACAGCAATAAGGAAGCAGAACAAACAAATAAGACAAAGTGTCAAATCTTTTTTACATGAACGTATCAATTTTCCGCCAGTCGGTTTTTAATACAATTTTTCTACTTATTTTCTGCCATGTTCATCCTGTCGCGCAAGGATTGGTTCATGTGGTCAGGCAGTCGAGTAGACATTCGAGTTGCCCGCCATGATAGGAGAGAACGGAAACGCCGAGAAACAACCGCCTTATAATTATCCGCGTTTTTATGATTTTTCTCTAGAAGAGTCGAGCTTTAATATTACCCACGCAATTCACTTCTGTTAAATTCATTGTTCTAATTTTGTTTCGTCAAGGAGTTGGGTTTTTTTTGGAGGGGGAAGAAACTGTAATTCAAGTTGTTAGCGTTGATGGCATTTTTTTTTATTATTCTGTTTGTTTTCACTCTATTGTCTACGAATATTTTTTCTGTTTTCCATTATTTCCTCGTTTTAAATTTTTGTATTTTCCCGTTTTTATTGTTGCTATCATTTTCAACAGGAGGAGTGATAGAAGGAATTGCGCTGTCTATTTTATCACAGTCTCTTTTGTATTTCTTCTCTTTTATTACTCCCAATTCTTTAGTTTCCTCTTTCGCCAATACATTTCGCTTACTCTACCATATGTTGCAGCGAGCGAGAATCGAACTTCTTTCACTTTTATCGGTGCGATAAAATCACATTTCATTTTTCCACTATATTTTTTGTATTTTACAACAGTTTCTACACTGTCTTCGGTAAGTATTGAATCTTGATGATTATCTCTTTCTATCTGTATATCTATCGATATAAATCTCTCTCTCTCTCTCTATATATATATATATATATATATATATATATATATATATCTATATTTTTCATGTTGTCTGTCTGTGTGTATGTCGTGGGCGTTGTTACCTCGCCCAGGCCGCATTTCTCACCTGATTTCGATGCGGTTTTCAACACAAGTTTTAAATGGCTGCTGTAAGGATATGACGGATCCCGATTTTTGAGTTCGGAATCAGGTTCCGAAAAAATCGATAATCGAAAAAATTCTGCTTACAGAAGGAATGATCGCAACCAAATTTGACACCCTCTTAGAGTCTACCATTAGACGTGTTGTCCAGAAGTTCCATGACCACGGACCCCTAAACAGCGCGGAAAATCGATAAAACACAAAAACCGATACGCCCAGATTGCGCCTGAACCGCGAAAACCGAGCGGATTTATGAAGAGGCCATTGGGAGTCATCATGTGAAGTTTCAACTCTGAGCACCCCCCCAAACAGAGTGCAAATCAATAATCGGTCAACCCTTAAAAATGTTTTTCCGGTTTTTTAAAGCTGATCGTTATGTGTTTATTTTGTTTAGTTCTTTTTCGTAACAGATTTAATGTTTACTATAGAGCTTAGAAAAAGTTGGCAGTGTGATATAGGCAAGAAGTAAGGCACGTAACAACATCAGCACGGCAAAGGGCACTCCTCTAAAGACAAGGAAGGGCAAAAAATATTTTAAGTCAAGTGATAGCGATTGCTGTATTAGTCGTACTATTTTTGTATCAAGCACGGGCAACGCCGGACCATGATGCTAGTATATATACATATATATATATATATATATATATATATATATATCGATACATAACTGACGAGGCAGACTCTTTCCTGCAGTAGCTTGCCATTTCTTTCTGCGGTAGACCAGTTGCCATCCAAAGCTGTCCTGGTATTTACCCATAGCTGGTGGGAGAAGAAGAGGATTCATACCTTTCCCAAGGATATTACCACGTAAGTGAATGTAATGGATTTGACTGGAATTCGAACTCTGCTCTCCAATTCCTCCATCCGAGCCACTATCCCTTACTCCACTCTGCCTCTCCACATTCACTTACATTCTTTTACACTTGGTAAAGGTATGAATCTCTCCTCCCTCAAGCCATGGATAAAAAGCAAGCCAGACAAGTTTCTGCAGCCTTGGGTGGTAACCAGTCAATGAGCAGGAATACTCTGAATTCAAAATTATATGTAGCCCTGGCAAAACACGTACTCTGTTTGCATTGACTCAATGACCCTGACTACAGTAGATTCCTTTTTTATCGATGAGTAATATTCTGCCATGCTCGTCTTTATTATCTATTTTTACAATAATATTCATCATTGATGTGAGGCCAAAGTTGGGACCACAGAAGTAAAACACGGAACACGGATTAGAAGTAAGAAAGATATATTAACAACAGGTTACAGAGATAGTGTAAGCGGAGCTTAATATATATTAGTGTCCAACACTGGTAGTCGTACGCGGCTCTCACCGTCTCTCTATGTCACTCTCTGTCACTCTATCTCTTTAGAGTGATATGTCGCCTACTTAATATAGGCCTGGCAGAGTCTATTGTGTAGATAGTTTAAGGTCTCACAATAATCATGTACAAGAGCCACTCGGATAGAGGGTTACAGAGTAAGAGGCCCAGTTTATGGGGATAAGTGGAAAAAATAACGGTCGTCCCTAGACTAGAATTGGTTAAGATTTTAGTAGTCGGAGAAGCATCCCCTTTATCAGTCTGTCCTACAAAGCAGCAGCTCGTGATGATCTACTCTGAAGATCAGCACTGGGAAATCATAATTTTTATATAAAGTCGCAAACCGACTTTTTCCTCTTTTTTTCACTATGTCCTTTCAGGATGTGAACGAACGGGATTCTCAAGAACTCTGTATTTTGTAGCTCTATAAACAATTTAAATTTTTATAATCTCTTTTTTCCATGTTCTGTCAAGTAGGTTACTGTTTCTCTTGTCTGAAGCATGCCCTGTGAGCATTAAGATCCCTAGGCCCACTTTTCTCAATGTGTCCTTAATGTAAGGGTAACTTTTCTTGTAGTTCCTAAAAGCTTTTTTGATGCTCATAATTTTTTCAATGTTATACTTAGCGTGTGTCAGTAGAAAAACCTCCTGTCGTTTCTGTTAATCACAAGAGAGAACCTTTTCTGCCTGCCATCAACATGGCTGATGCTAAACTCCAGACGTGTATCAAGCTACGCCTTCTTGGTCTCACATTTCCCACTGACATGAAGTGGGGGGACGACATCGAATCAATTGCTTCGTCTACTACAAGGAAAGTTGCTTCACTATGTCTTATCAGAAGGTATTTCTTTTTCTCATCAGAATCCATCTTGTACATTTATAAATCTACCCTGCATTGAATACTTTGCCATATCTGGTCTGGTGCTCGTGTTGTTCATCTCGAGGCTCATGACAAAATCCAAAGAAGAAGCTGTAATGTAATTGATCCTGACCAGACATCTCGACTTTCTCACCAACGTGACGTGGCTTCTCTCTGTCTTTTCTACGAATATTTTCATGGCAACTGACATGCTTTTATCCTTGGTGTCCCGACTACTTCATTGGCAACTAAGTTTCATCGTTTTATTGTTGAAATAGCTAAATGTAACCACCACTCCAATTTCAACAGTTTCTTGTCTTGCACTTTCCAGCTGTGAAACCCCCTTCCATTTTCTTACTTCCCCGATCACTAAAATCTTCAAAGATTTAAATACAATGTCAATCGTCATCTTCTATTTTCTTGAATCCCGTTCATATGTTTCCCTTTCCTGAATCATTTCTATTCCCAGTCTTTTCGTTCTCTATCACCTTCACGCCTTTGATTGGGGGGGGGGGTCAAATGATTAAAATAACTATGAAGAGATTGTCGAGCATTCACGGTTATATATCTCTATCTATAAAAGGCAGGATATGTGTGTGTGTGCGTAACGAATGCACGGCCGCAATTTTCGACGGATTTGCACCAAAATTTACATGCACATGCTCCAAGTTAGTGAGAAGGCCAAGACCGATTTTGCATTTCCCAACTCCCATCGATAGTGGAAATAATCGTTTTTTTTTCATGCTTCTACGACACTTTTCATGTAGTTTGCGGCCATTTTGTACTGGCCAGATTGAGAGCCAATAGCTGGCTGCCACGAATAGGCAGGAAGATTCTATTGGCCAGCGTGAGAGCCAACAGCTGACTGACACGAATGTTAACTAGCAGGCAAAAAAATCGATAGCTGCATTCGTCACAAGTGAGAAAAATTTAAATGTGCATGGCATTTTACTCCAATTGGCTTATTCGCTTGCTTAAACTCAACGTTGATTTTGATTCCGCAGAACTGGGATGGGTGTGAAAAAGTATTTGTTGTTAACATTCTTTTTTCATTCGGTTTTTCCAGTTACGAGTCCTTTTTTAAAGCTGATCGTTTTGTGTTCATTTTGTTTAGTTCTTTTTTCGTAACAGATTTAATGCTTAGTATAGATCTTAGAAAAAATTCGCAGTGTGAGACAGGCAAGGTGTAAGGCATGTAGCAACATCAGCACGGCAAAGGGCACTCCTTTAAAGGCAAGGAAGGGCAAAAGTATTTTAAGTCAAGTGATAGCGATTGCTGTATGAGTCGTACGATTTTTGAATCAAGCACGGGCAACGCCGGGCCATGCTGCTAGTGAGATTATATATTACATTCTAATTTAGCACTGTTTTCTTTGTTTCTCTTAATACTTTCCTTGATTTCTCTATACATTCTGAAAAGCATCTTTCGCTTTTCCTACGATTATTTATATTACACTGTATTCTGTACCAGCTCGATTTTGACTTCCGCAGTATGTAGCACAAACCTTTTTTTTTTTTTTGCTGACAATCCATGCATTGTTTTCTTAAAGTTGATCATACCTTGTTTGTATTTGGAGAGTATCTAGTTTAAGTCGGAAGGAAGTAGAAAAAATCGTAAAGTGTTATTTTGACAGGGCTGAACCCATTACAACTACAAATTATCATGTGAGTCATACTGGTTTATAATCGCTTTAAAGCCTGGGCCTTCCTTATATTTTATTTCTGATTACAATGCGGCAGAGGGGAACAAAAACTTGGAGAGTTAAGTTACTAAAGGGGAATAACTGAAACTGAGATATACAAAAAAGGCACGGCACGTGGAATTTGAACAATCTACTCCCATGGATTAAATAAAGTGTTCAGTTCGAAATTCCAACGTGTAACACTTGCAGAAGGCCGAAGCGTACAACGGCCGAAACCTCGTAAATGTGACAATATCCAATCTCAGAAATATAGATAAATCGTCAGTGGTTCTTTAATTCAAATATTATTCAAAATCACTGTCATTTTATGTCTGTTTTGTGTTTTCTTCTTTTTCCTTTTCCAAATATTTGTTTATTATTTTTATTTAAATCTTCATTCCCTTTGCTTGTTAATTTAGTCTTTATTTATATTCGTTATGGCAAGTTTCTTTTTACTTTCATCAATTTCATTCGTTTCTTCACATACCTTTTTCTTTCTTTCTTTTTCTCTCTCACGATTTGATGCTTGACAGTAATCTGATACTAAATTATTTGTTTTCTTTCTCTTTTTTTTTGTGTATCTCTTTCTTTATTTCATTCTTTCACCCTTCGCATTTTCCTCTCTTTTTTTCTTCCACTCTTTTAACTCTTTTCCCTTCTCTTTATTTTCACTTTCACTGTCTTTTTCTGTGGGTCGCTCGCTGTAGACTCCCCCACCCACTTTTTTTTTTTTTTCACTTGTCAATTCCTGCAAACCCCTTTTCTTTCATTCCGTTGTTGTCACGCACTTCATAGACTCAGTTCACAAAATGATGGACGCTATTCAATATTTTTCATCCCGTCCGGATGAATTCTACAGACCACGGACATTTTAAGTATCAATAGGCAGAATCATTGATTGCATATTGATCTTTGCGCCATCGTCTGACCGGTAAGTTAAACCTTCACCCAGACCAGGCAATCATAGCGTCCAACAAAGCCTATAACTATGGCCAGTCTAAAATAGCATATTAACACTAGGCTGATCGAACTCGCCTCTAACTCATATCGAGTGCTTTTCATTTGAAAATATGAAGGGTAATTAAGGTATATCTATATATTTATGGGTGTGTGTATATGTTTCTGACGATTTACTTAACTGTATGGATATACATGTAGATAACTAAGGTACTTATTTTTCCTATATCATAATTTTATATCTGTGAACACATTTGTTAGCCGGGGTAATTACTTATTTGCCTCCTGCGTTTGTAGTTGTTATTCTCGCTCGTTATCTCTCTCTTTGTAACTGAAGTGGCGAGTATGAATCAAGATGCGGGTGATTATGAATCTCCACGATTTCCTTTCTCTTTGCAATGTGTTAATTTGTCTACATGCAATTTGTTCTTCCATCATTTCCACATTTGAACTTTGATCAATACAATATATATATATATATATATATATATATATATATATATATATATGTGTGTGTGTGTGTATGTATATATATATATATATACCGGCAATATATTTTGAAGAATATATATATATATATATATATATATATATATATATATATATATATATATATATATATATATTCTTCAAAATATATTGCCGGTATATATATATATATATATATATATATATATATATATATATATATATATATATATATATATATTATAAATTAATTGATTTAAAATATGTTTTTTTCCGCTATTTTTGTAAAATAAAAATATCTATAAGAACACCGGATTATATATCTTACTGTTCTTTCTTTTTATTTACACACACACACACACACACACACACACACACACACACACACACATATATATATATATATTTCCAGAAATACATTTAAAAAAAAAAAACAACTTAAATACATTTTGGGGAAAATATTATCAGCAATATATTTGCCTCTTGATAAAAAAACCCTCTTTGCAAAAATACCTCAATGAAACCTGATCTACAAACTGATTTCTTACGATTCTTAAAAACTTGCCGGCATTAAATAAGTCACTGAGGTAGTTATGCCGTAAAACTCAATAATCTAAACCTGGGACCGTCAGTGTGTACTTGGATCTACTGGAATCTGGTCGTGCAAATACTGAGCAATAGTAAAAATTAGAACAAAACAAGAGAGCCATATACATATTTAGCGGGAAAAGAACAGCCTATCCTCTGTAGATTAAAGGGTTCAGTTCGAAATTCCTTCTAGGTTACCCGGATTGAAATACTCCTGATGATGGCCGGAGGGCACAGCGCCTGAAAAGTTATGATCACAACAAGGATGAGAACAATAATCCGAATGTAAACAGCGTAAATATAAAGGTAACTACTCATCTCAGAAGTCCAGATATCATTTTTGTTTCTGATATTGTTTCCATGTAGATATTTTAATTTAATCGTCTTGTATCATTTCTAAATTGATATATCACCGTTCTAACGACCATTCCGATGTCATTCTGATCATAGAAATTGGATTTATTATTCCACATTGAAAAATTTTTCTCTTCTGTTTCCATGTAATTATGCATCAAAAATCTATTTAATAGGATACTAAATATTAGTTTTTTTTTCTCAGGTTTATCACCAATCTAATTATTCGTTGAATTTTGCATTCATTCGCATTCTGGTTTCGCTATCAAAACTCTGAACATATCTACTGAGATTCTAGTATGTTTTACCATTTTTTGGTTCTTTTTAGATAAATTCTGTTTTTAGTGTCGGAAGCTTATAATTGTATCCTGAACTGTACAATAAATCATACCAATTGCATCTTCGAATCTTGTCACTTATTGAATTGTATGTGGCACCATTTACTTTAATCTAGTTGTATTATCGTTTGCTTAAATTTGAGTAAATTGAAACAGAACTTCAGGTTGTAACAGTATATATATATATATATATATATATATATATATATATATATATATATATATCTTTCATCCTCCCTCCCTCACTCTCTCCTTTTCCCTCTCTCCATCCATATATATATATATATATATATATATATGTGTGTGTGTGTGTGTGTGTTATGTTATGTTTTTATTTACTCACATTCAAAAATAGATCCAAATACGTTTGTATGCAACTTTATGCATATATGTGTAAGTTCAAAACGAAGTTCTTCATTCGACCTTTTGACAGTAAATGATAGGAAATCGAAATTCTGTAACCCGTATGCAGCTTGGATATTTTATCCAACCAGTCACCAAATTTTTTTGTCGAGGAGCTATCTAAAAGCATGACGGCCATTCATTTTTTTTTCTCTATCTGTCTTGCGTGCAAAAACCAAGTCTCTAATCTATACAAAGCTTGTTGATTTCTTAAGGATCAAAACTAAATTCTTTATTCGATCTTTTGACAGCAAATGAAAGACAGATCTAGCTACCTGTAGCCTTCGATATTTTATCCAATCAGCAACCAATCGTTTTTGTCGATGTGCTTTCTTAAAGGATGTCATTCCTTTTTTACCTACGTCTTTTTTGCATACTAATCTTTCAGTTACATTTTTCTGTCACTTTGTCTCTATATTTTAACTGACAAAAAGGGAGAGGCTATTCAGCAGTACAGCTGCTGAAAGTAAAATAATTGAATTAAACCCCGAAATTACAAATCTTAGTCATGGCAATACCCACACTATTTATCTCTCTGACGCGCGCATACGCACATATACAGACATGTGTACCTTTGTTTCTTGCAATTTATACTTGCCTTAAAATATTTTACTCCCGTGTATATGATTGTTATAATATATATAAATATATGAATGAAGTAATATTTTAAGCGATATGGCAATTAAATTGCTGACAAGGAAATTCACAATCTCAGTAATGGCTTTCTCTGCTCACTCGCTCATCATTGACTCTTGCTGAGGCGCATAATAAAAACACTGTGGTATCTGGGAGTTGCTTATTTTGTGTGAAATAAGAACGGACACGCAATTCGAACTTTTATTTACTGTTCAGTAACAATAGACGTAAACATTGACCAGTGCATTAATAGGAACACGAGGGAATGTCTGACCGCCATCTTGAAAACTGTTTTCTTAGCTGTTCTAGAGATTTCTGCTTAAGGGGCATAACTCGGTTCCGATCTAGGGAGCGAGTTAACTGACTTGGCATAATACACGTCCTAACACACACAATAGTATTTCTGTTTTTATGTTATTCAATATTGTTTAATAATTTGAGTGAATAGTTGCGATTTTAAAACTGTGTATCGAGAAAAAAAAGTTGGATTAAAGAAAATTTACTCCTCAGCAGTGATGAAACGTGTAATCTCTTTATCCTGGGAAATCATCTTTTAGCCAGGATAAAGGTAGTATCCTTGAACAAGGGAACACTGATTCAGTCCCTGATGAGACAAACATTTTCTTTAATAATATATTCTGCTGTTTAAACCAGTGTCTTTACTTTCTCTGTTTAAAAAGGGAATCATTCAAATAACGTTTAAAGTGGTGAAAGATTAAAATTCATAAATTACACACACATACACACACACACACACACACGCACGCACACACACATATATATATATATATATATAAAAGAGTGTGTGTAAGAGAATTTTATTTCCATTTTATTATTTTTTGTTACTAGTTTAGGTTCATCATATGTCAAGAACGTCTCAGTTGCTATTATAATTTAATTATCTCCAGTTAATTGACAATCTCATTTCCTTCAGGCAGCCTGTTAACGCTAATTAATAAATGCCGATTATGTAATTTTCTTTAGTTAAACGTTAATGCAAAGCATGAAGAATGTGATAGATCAGATTCTCCTATTTGGGTAGATTGATAGGGGTTCAAGTCTAGCATTGTTAGATCGAATTTTCTAACTTGATACTGTCGCTTAGGAAATAATACTATTTTGCGTTTAACAGTCGAATTAGAAGATTCATTTACAATTTAACTGAATTCGAGAGAATGTCATCTTTTAGCTCTTTGGGAGTGTGTGTGTGTGTGATGTATGTATGTGTATATATTAGTATCAGTGTGTATATAAGTATGAGAACTCAACAACTCTGCAAGCATGTTTTTCTTGTGTGTATGAGAAATGTGGCTAGAGCTTGATTTATGCGGTTATATATTAATTCTATCTATGTTGTTAAATTTATGGTTAAGCCCGTCTGGACGAAGTGTTTTGAGGCGTAAAATCCACTTGTCTTCATGTAGTAGTATTTTTCTAAGTTTATCTTTTCTATCTATTTCTATTTTTTCAATGATAGTAAATTTTGCATGGCTTTTTGTTGAAACTTGAATAAAGCATGGAATAATAATAATACAACACAAAATGTACTTAAACAAAATGTATTGACACAAGAACGTGTACACAATATTTACAGATAGTTTGGTATATTCTTGAGAAGACCGTTCCTGTAGAATGGGTTGACTTAGTCGCAGTCGGGCAGAGTCTCTGGATTGGATCTCTTCTTCCTCACCCCTTCCCGGTACCAACCATATTTATATGGTCGGTACTCCACTATGTAAATTAGGTGGATCGTACCACAACACTTTTAAAGTCATGTTTTTCGCAGCGGAAATATTTTTTTTTTACAGGTTATAATCTTTCGTAGAGAGACGACTTGATCCGATTCCGATAATTAATAATTTTGTTGGGAAATGTTCATTCAGATTTTCCCAGATATTGTTTCTGGAATAGTGTGCATTCTTATAGGTAAATTATCTTATGACTTCTACAATCATAGTTGCGATAGATTTTGAAAGTAGATTTCGTGACTGAGCAAGTGAACCAATTGATATGTCTAAAGTGTTTACAACAGAGGCTCCTTTTGTTGTTACA